ATTTTTGATACTATCAATCAAGAGGTTTGCGGCGAGTAACCAGCAGACTTAATTTAATAATATTTCGCCGCACAACGATGACAGCGTGAATTGTGTACGCTGTTTGCTTTTTTCTCGTAACAACCGAGACTCAACGGGCTAAAATATTAATAATAGCGAATTGACCGATAAATTGCCAGTTTTGGAGAGACGGAATACCTCGGAATATTTTGCAAGTCAATAAACCAATGCGACATCGTGGTTTATGAAAAAGTTATATTTGCAGTTAATGTAATATTTCACTGAACGAGAGATCACGGAATTAGCATCGTTCCACCTTGAACCACATTTCTGGATATAAGTGGGCATGTTAAACGCGAATTATTCATTACATTTGTCGTGGCGAACAAGTGTAACTGATAGTCGATATCCTGTCTTTGGTTGGTCTCTGATGAACGGTAGTCCTTAATCGGTTATTTGCGACACCGCAATTTCGCATAAATTTAGACCCTCGCCGAAACTGACCGCGGCAGGAAGCGCTCCGCCGGAATATTCGTTATCATTATCAGATCGCGTAGTGACATTTTACGATTCCCTACCGTGCGCGGTACACGCGCGTCGTATTTAACGGTCTACCGTATGAATTACAAAACATATTGGCGCAATGTCCAACGCGCGCGCGGTTATACTAGTCGCCGCGCCTCGGAAACGCTGTTATGACGTCGCTTTTGGCGGGGCGCTCGCCGAATTGTGTTGCAGGTCGCGACGAAAAATTTATCGCAGCCGCTTTTCGCGCTACACCGACGCAAAGAGATCCGAGCACGCACACGGCGCGAAAAGTAGTGCGTTTTCCAACAAGAGACGCAGGCGACAGAGTATGATACTGTGTTGACACAACAGCCTTCCTACAACGGCACAACACGCGACACAAGTCAACACGGCCAAGTCTAACTAAATTTGTGTCAGTATCATGGTTGCCAACATTCTCTCTTTCTCATAAATTTTATATAAATTTCATATCATCCCCCTATATTTGTAGCATTAAATATTCCGAAGAATTGTGAAATGTTTGGGGACAAGTAAAATATATCCAGCGCTGTTTGAGCGGAATTGGATAATTATCAGAACAATTTTTTATTTTCGAGACGTTTCGGTCTCTTCATTTGAATTATCAATATGCTGAAAATCGTTTTATATCTCGGTACGCAATTATGAACGTCATTCGGATGCCAAAGTTAAGGAGTTGTTATTTGTAGAACAAATATTTATTAATATCTGAAAAATTGTTTTCTGTTTTCGTGGCACATTATAATAATTATAATTTTATATATATATAATTTTAATATATCATTTTTGGCGTTTCGAGTCTTCTTATACATGATATTTTTATAATAAAATGTAACCCGCCCTCCTTAGAAATATTTGTAACAACAACAGCAAAGAGAAAATCATAATTGATGATGTTACACAGCATTTATATTTCGCTGGACGATAAATAATTTCAGATAATGACGATAGACAAAAGTTATGAATGGAGACAAGTATGTTATGCTTTTCGTTTAAAGTAGGCTTGGATCGTTTTAGAAACAATTGATAATGTTTTAAATTCTGAAACTGGCTGGTAGGGTCTCATTAAGAGGTCATTAATCGCCCTCGAGGCGATCAAAAGTCGGTTCACTCGAGAAAGCTGTACGTGATATTTGTTAACATGTATTACATCAGCGCCAGGCGACGACCGTTTCGAAAATTAAGGTATTCCATCGGGCAAGCACAAGCCGAGGTCGATTGTGCGACACAATGTGCCTATCTGCGTTTCCTTGCTGGAAAGCACTCGTGGTGTAAAACGCGCGCACGCGCTAAAGCGAGTGCTCGCTGCTAAACCACAGATACAGAGAGAGAATATCGGGAAATATATATAACACTTTTGTGCCGGGAGTGTCTGAGCTAGTCTTGCGCATTGGCGTATACTGAAGCGGAACTTATCCGAAAGCAATCGATCGTCATCGAAACTGGAGCTCCAACTATAATGGGGCTACGTCGACAACAAAAATTGATTGTCGAGATGTGGCTGCGCGCACAGAATGCGGCCGGAGCGGCTTCAGAAGCGGGTTTTGTGTCACGATAATGTGCGCTAACAGCGTTGCTCGCCGCGATCGAAGTCGTTAAGATCGCGCCTCTCGGTGACTTATTCACGAGATCGGTTGCATTATCGAAACTAAAGATCCAATTAAATTCCGTTGCGGGACATTAGCGACGAAAATAATGCATGGGAGGACGCACGCGTCCTACGTGACCGGCCCGGCCGAACGGCGAATTACCGGCAAAGGGTCCGGCAATTTTGTAATGGAGGAGCTTTGTTAACCCGTGAAAATCACAGTGACGTCGCTTGAAATTAGCAGCGATCGATCGGTGTATTATCGAAATCGGACCCTCCCCCCCCCCCCCAACACCGGCAATATGTGAGCTCGCTCGCGCGCGACTGCTTGTTATGACAGTTTTTTCGGGGAATTCACACTCGATATACAGCGTGTATGTATCAAATTGGATATTTGATCATATAATGGTGTTGTTACAATGTCGGATTACGTTATGAATACTACCGAGCGAGCCGCGTGCGCGCCCGCTTGCTCACCTTGTTGCGAGCAGTCGGCGTTGCGAATGCGGAACACGTTGCTCTAATGGGGACTCTCTTTCGCGGGACCCATGTGGTGGCAACCTGTATTCCCCATGCCGCCGAAACAACGGAGAACAACGCATCCGCGGCTGCAGTGTCATTTGCAAATTCGCGTGCGACCTGTCCATAAAAAAGACTTAAAGCGCACGATATCGTAGCGAGACGAAATTGCGCTGCTATCGGAAAAACAGAGACATTAAGGGGAGAATTATGACGATCGCGCGATACATATACACATACAGCAGTTCGCGATAGAATGTGCTTAATACCAGTTGATTTGTTTATCGTTCGCATGCAACTCCGCTCGTACACGTCATACTCGTTCGCCCCACGCGGAAACGGAATATTCAGTCAGTCGGTAGCAAACGTGCATATGGGGATTTAAACCGCGCTAAGATTAAAGGATAACAAGCGTCTCTCTCAGTTGAAAGTCGCTTATAAGATACAAGCTCGCAAGATTAAACTGTCAGTCAAGACGGCATCGTCTTGAAGTATTAATACTCCAATTCTCGCGCGCGCGCGCGCGGCGCGAGCTATGCCGAAGCGCTCCGGAATCATCGCTCGTGTATCATCTGTCGATTGTTTGATACCTGTTTCTTCTTAGTTAGGAGTTACTTAGACGCGAAGGCGAACAAAACAATGTCTCGGTGTTATTAGTTAATCCTCAATAATGCGATGCGAACTAAGCCTAACTGAACGGAAATAATTAGGTAAGGCCGCTTGATGTTCGGTCGAATGTGCAGAAGTCAAAAAGTGATGGCCAATGGGTACCAGAACGCGGATGTTAACGCGCAAACTTCGAAATATTTAATGAAGTTATTACGTTGAGATACATATATTACACCACGTTATAAAATCGGGACTTTTGTACTTTTCAACTTCAATTTCATTAAATGTTTGGAAGTTTGCGCATTAATTCCTGCGTTCTGGCTAACATTGGCCGTTGCTTTTTGACTTTTTCATTTTAATTAGTTAAAATAGACTAATTGTTTCATTGTCATTATTAAAAGTTGGTTTTTGCGAATAACATGCATTCACGGCGTGTTAAAAGTTCCTCAGCTGGAATTAAAGCGCACATTAGCACGAGTTGCTAAACAAGTGGCGATCATCCCAAAGCATCTAATTGGTGTATAATTGTAAACAGCAGAGTTGTCTGCTATTTTTTGTGCGACTTTCGAGACGCATCTGTCTTGCCCAATGGGAGAATTCTCCCATTGGGGGACAGATTCTCTCATTAAACAAGACAAATACGTTCTGAAAGTCACGCAAATCCATAGCGAACCTTTCTGTCTACGATTCTGTACACAGACCAGCACAATGGCTGTTACATGTGCATAATAGTCTTAACGATTAACATGCAACTAGGTTACTAGGACATTTACACTTGATTCATTGTTTATTGATTACTCAACGAAGCAAGAATGAACGATGTGCCAAGTATACGTCAAATAACAGTAATCTGTCGTTGCGACGGCTTTACGTTGATATCCAGAGGAGAAATATGTGTGATTAGAAAATATTAGCAACCTAATCGTACTGTGACATTACCGACTACACCAGTAAGAAATCATTGGATTATTAATTGTGTAATCAGCAGTGTATGTATAAAGATCATCTGGTGAGTCGTAAAAGACAATACGGTATGCCGCAGCCTGATTAATTTGACAGGATTCACATTATCCTTCCACGCAGCTGCAAACAGCAGTCCGTCAAAACATTGTCAAATTCTTCTTTTCTTTTAATAGAAAAGGTTCAGTTGTGTGCTACGGTAACCACGAATACTCCAACGCAAAAGCAAAAAATATTTCAACGGAGAATTGATGGAGTCCTGTCCGTTGCTCTCTCTAGACGGACACTGCGAATCCAGTCTAAGACGTGCAACGCACTCTACCCTAAAATATTCAGCGACGCTAAACACGACAAATGTTTGGGCACTCGCACTTTCTTCGAATAGTGTAAAAGTCGCCCGGATTTGTGCGAGTCACACAAAATAATAGGATAGGCCGCGGATTAACGAGGCCTGACTCAGGCGCAATGCATTCTAGTCTAAAACGTCCGGCGGCCCTAAACATAGTAAACGCCTAGGCATTTGTAACTTATACATATGCGCATACATATAACACTCGCGTATATGCGTTTCTATGTGCGCGTAAACACACATGCACATATGCACAGGTATGCACGTCTAGGAGCGGTACTTAGTACGCGTCGCGACTCAAATAGCCGTCAGCCGTCATCTGTTAAAGGCGCGTAAAGGAGCCGCGGGAGAACGAGCGATTAATCACCGCAATCATCCGTAACGGGGTTAGCCGATATGCTAATAGAATGATAAGTTAAGAGAACACACCCCGCCAACCGCCGCGCCGCTACTGCTCTCTCCCTTCCGTCTGTCCTTCCAGTCACCCTTCCTCGCTCTCTCACCATGTCCTCTTTATCCTGGAAAGATACGTCGCGTGGTGAACGGTAATCCGCTAATGTCTGAGCGATGTGTGTACCGTTCGCGCATAGATAATTCCGCTGCGCTGCGGAATACACGCGGCTGCGATGCACAAACTGTGCGTTCGAGAGCATGCATATGCGAGAGAGTGAGAGGGCGGGAGAGGGGGAGGGGGGAGGGGGGAGGGGGAAGAGGGGAGAGAGATCGATCCCTCAGTGATCGGTAATGGCATCAATCACTTGTTACAACCAATCAGCCGTATGTTTCGTTATCCCGAGCCGAATACGACTCGACGCGACGCGCATTCCCGCCCATTTCCAGTAAATCGCGCTTAATACGCGCTATATGCGCGCCCGTCGCGCTCGAAATTGTGCGGCGACAGGAAATTACATCGAGGCGTTCCTCGCGTGCTCGCTTTTGAAGAAAGGAACGCGTCGGTCCTATCCGCGGCTCTCTCTTCCCTCCGATCCTCGTTACAGGATGGGCCGTCATTTCCGCGCCCGGCGCCGCGCGGCCTGCTCGCGGCCGACGAACCGCCGCCGCCTCGCTTTCGGTCTCTCGCTCTCTTCCTCTCTCCCTCTCTCTCTCTCTCTCTCTCTCTCTCTCTCTCTCTCTCTCTCTCTCTCTCTCTCTCTCTCTCTCTCTCTCTCTCTCTCTCTTTCTTTGTTTCTCGCGAAATGCATTTTTCGCCGTTCGTTGTGTATTTCGCATAAGCCTCTTTCGCCACTGTTGTTTGCCAGAACAGAAAGAGAGAGAGAGAGAGAGAGAGAGAGAGAGAGAGAGAGAGAGAGTATAGCAGGGAAATGCCGCACGATCGAACACGTGAATCCCGCGTTCGGCAAAGCACGTTCCCCTCCGCACGCGTAATTTCTGAATAAACAAAGCACGCTTATCGGCAAAGGCGATCGGCAAACACACGGCGGAGCGCCGCTTTTTATACCTCGAGGAAGCATCGCGTTATCCGATCAATCTAATGAAAGATACTTTCATTGACGGCACGCAAAGCCGTACGGGCTCGTGCTACGTGTATGCAAGCCCACATGAACCTTTTGATCAGTCCGGATATTTTTTCCCTCACGATCAGTTCCAACTTTTTTTCCATTAACTGTCGTCAGTTTCGCCGCGGTTTCGCGCGGCTATTTGGCAAGATGGGTGTATGCGGTTGCGCTCGCTCACTTGTACGATGAGCGGCGTTTTCGACGACCCGCGGTGACCGATGATTTTTCATTCAGTTTTTTCTTTTTTCAAACGTACGTATATCTGCATCAGTGCGTGTGCACGCTCACGTGTGCGACACGACAAGAGCGATGGCAAGAAACGACAGGGGAGAAAGAACGCTGAGACTCGAAGGCGGAAAATATAAAGACGTAAGATAAAGAAACGCGTGTACTGTTCTTTCCGCGAGGGCGGATAATAAAAGGGAAGCGCAACGGCGCAACGGAAAATATGGTCTAGCGGACACAAGAGCGAAAGAGGGAGAGAGAAAGAGAGAGAGAGAGAGAGAGAGAGAGAGAGAGAGAGAGAGAGAGGAACGTTAATATCGCCGGAGCACCATCCGGTATTTGTATCACTTACTATTTGCATTGAACACCCGGTAGAAAGGGCGCTTGTTCTCTGCCAGAGCATTCCGGGCGATCCGACGTGATTAAAAAGTCGGGGCTCCCCCGGCATCGACGCCGGCTTCTGAATAATTCAATAAACGCGCGTTAATTCGCATATACATGCCGGCGTGACCGCCCCTGCGGACACGCGAATCCCACGGAAGAGACCGAAACTTTAAATTGTTAATCGTACCGCGTCGACCGGCTCGCCGTCTATTTGCAGAACGCTGCGGAGTGTGTATGTACAGGCGTTTGCGGATCGTTCATCGCGCGTATTACGTAAGGGGATACGCTTGAAATAAAGAGGAAAAAAAATTAAATATAATTTCACACGTGTTGCCGGTGTTATTTCGGAATTGCGTGCGCGCGAGTGATTTCTCGGGATCAAGTTCTCGTGACGGAGAATCTATGAGATCAGGTGCGATAGAAATGAAAGTAATCTGATATACATGAGATATATATGTAGCGATATATGTATATATATATGATATTAACTTGTATATAGTGATATATGTATATATATATATGTATATATATATATATATATATGATATTAATAATGTAAGACAAATGATGCGTATGAAAAGCCCTCGTGTAAAAATTTCCCAGAATTTTCCGAGTACACAAATTCCGATTAGAGTTCCTACATTTAGCTCAAAATTGGTTATCCAGTTACGATATCCGGTAGTAATCCAATTCTTATCATTTTTTTTTCAAGCTATTCGAGTTCCTATTCCTGCTTTGGTTTCAAGAAATTTTCTATATGAGTCTTGCTTCTCTCTCTTTTCTTGTGTCTTATATATTGCAAGCATGTTTGCGCAATGCAATGCTTTAATCGAGTAATATACTTAATAAATCGATGAGTATTACAATTCTACTAAATTTACTAATACACTGCGTACTTTACTCTTTCTTCATTAACTGCACCTTTGCATGGGTAAGCAGGACGAATAAATGGCGAGTAAATGCATTGCCGGCGTCGCGAAAAATATTAACCATCGGTAGCCGTCAACGCGGATCCCAAGTAATCATACGCAATCGCATTCATAAGCAATTACAATCTATCCGCTACCGAGATATCGAATAATGAGTCCGTCTCGCTTAATTTATATTCGTGCATACGCGCGAGCGAACTCGCAAGCGGGACGCGAGTTTTCCCGGTGATTAACCGGCGTTACGAGTGATGCGCGTTGATTCGCGCACAATGAAACGCTTGCATCGCGAGCTGTGGGGGCGAATGCACCGTCGAAACCTGAAGATATGAATATGTTAATATCAGAGTACATTGCCCAGTTGCAAATTGTCTCGCCGTGTGGAAATGTCGCATAAACCGTCGCATGTCACGTCGTTGTCGTCTTCGTCTTCGTCTTCGTCTTCGTCTTTGTCCTCGTCCTCGTCTTCATCTTCGTCGCCGTTGTTGTCGTTTGCGGCAGTCTTAATCTCGCTGGAGACTCGCCGCCGAAAATGCGGACTTTAATATTATCAATTCACCGCTCGCGATAATTTGCATGACGTAGCGTGCCAGCGTAACGGCCGTTCGACTGATTCGCATTCGCGTCGTTCTGCGTCGAATTCCACGCGGAATGAGTTTCCGTGAGATTCACGATTGTTCCCGCGTTAGCTCACGCACATCGATCGGTTAATGACGCGCGGCGCTGGGCGTGGGGGCCCGAAATTACGGCGACTCTTAATTGTTAATCGCGTCTCATTGTTCGATTTCAATTTATCTCGTCACAGCTGCATCGTGCGTATTAATGCTTAATTCCGATGATCGGACTCGTTTTTAGGACGGGGGGGGACGGGGGGTGGAGATAAGGGGCAGGGTACGATTGAATAAAAGTCGCAGAGGGAATTGTGTGTAAAATCCACCAAAACAAGCGGAAACGTTCATTTGCGGTGACATCGCACGCGTTGTATAGCCCGTACGTTCTCGTGTTTATTGGTTATCATTGTTGCTCTACGATGTGCTATTAATATGCCGGGGAAACGCATGCTCTTTTATTTACGCACGAATTCGGTACGCATGAAAAATGCTCGCTGAATCAACAAACTACCGAGGCTGCGGTGAAAATAGACGCGCTGCGGCTAAGTCGAAAAATAAAAGAACCGACTCGTGATTGAGAGAGGTCGAATATTTCAAATTTATATCTGCTTCGTTAAATATTAGTGCCGTCCAAAAGAATCTAAAAATATATGGACCATTGCTTAATTCAGAGGAAAGTGGATCAGTTGAATTAACGTAACAAGCGAGTCAGAATCAGGAAATCTCTATGGGATCTCTCTGAAAAATTTGAAACAAGTTCAAAAATATATTTCACGAATCAAAGGTAGTTTTTATTTAATTAAAAAAAAATATAAATTATATGCAGCATACAATCTCTCACAATCTCTCTGTAACATATCTCAAAGACAAAATCGTTCCACATGCGTAAAGTTTTGCAAAGCAGCACGTTAATTCCGATTTTATCTTAGTTTTTAATTGCTTCGACCTCTTGGATATGTTTATTTCAGAGTGTTTGGGATTATTTTTCATGAAAATCGAAGGATGTAACATCGTTCGACTTCACTGAACGTGCCTGTTTATGCCAGGATGCAGTTTTAAAAACGGTAGAATTTCTCTAGTTACTCACGAGACGGCCCATTTGAAATTATGGTATTGCATACATCGCATATAAACACATAAAGATACGCGTCAGCGCGGGATATTACTGTGCTCGCTTCCCCGCAAAAGTTTCGACGTCTGTTTTCCCCTCTCTCTTCCCCCCCCCCTCCCCGTCTTTCTCGCGGAAAACACGACGCCGGGCATCGTTTTAATATCTCCGCGGTGCACATAATTACTCGCCGTAATATCGGTCATTCAACTGATTCATACTCGTCGCATTTAGCTTCCAAATCTGCAACGGGACAAATTGCGACAAAGTTTGCGATTACCGGACATTAATTCGCGTACAATCGCACGCTCTGCACAGTCTCCTGCGCGTTTGCCCGCGAAACTGCACAAAACTTTTAATTGTTGATCGTGTTCTATCTCATAAGAACTTTGCGTAAACGGCACGGTGGTACCTCCAGAAATAACCGTTGTCTGAAACTCTTACTCGTCCTGTGTCGTTAAGTATTAATTCTCGAGTCGCATATTACTGTAGTTCCTGTAGAGAGAAAAGAAATGTATCCAACTGCGAAATCATGTCGGTCCCGACTGTTCCAACCTCTTTATCGTTTCAACGAAAAAGTGATAACGATAGCGGCAACGTATGCGTATGAACAAATAAATAAATAAATAAGAAGAAGATGAGAGTTGCGGCGCTGTTGTTTGACCGGAATTTGTCAGCGCATAAAAATTTGCTTTTACATTCGATTTGAATCGCGCGTCGAACGCGATAAAACGAACATTTTTCTTT